GATGAGACATTAAGCGTCACCATCACCATCTATCTACTGTAACAGCAAAATAACACTGCCCTGAAGGCATATGAAAAAAGAAAAAAACTGCACATAAAGAGAGTAGGCAGACAACGAAAACAACTGAAATTATAGAAAGCGATTATATCATTGTTGACAGTTAAGCTATGCATACACACACACACACAAAACAAAGTAGCAGAGACTTGATAGAATTCATGAAGGCATTGAATACTGTCTCAACAGATGAACTTTGATGTGCTTACCATATAGGCTTAATGTCCTGGATTGGATATCTGCAATGAGTGGGGTCATTGCTGTATTGGAGTACTGACGAGTACCGAAATAGATGCTCAGTACTTCTTGCGAGCAACGAGGAGACAAGCATAAAATTGGAGGATCTGGACTTCGCCGATGATATGTCTGATTTCCCATAAACTGGAAGATATCCAAGTGATGAAAAGCAACAAGTTGGCCATAGAAGAAGCATCCAGAGAACATAGGACTTCATGTGAACATAGAGAAAACAGAGGTGATGAAGATTCCTGGCCAATGCCAACAGCAGCAACAGACAATTAGCATAAATGGGAGAAATCTGAAAGAAACAACTTCCTACCTACCAACCGACCTGGGAAGCATCGTTTCAACTACAGGTGGAGAGAACTGATCAGGATATCAAAGCAAGAATCCGAAAACCAAGACAAGCTTTCATTACTCTCAAGTCTGTATGGAAGTCAACAGTACTCACCATCAAAAATAAGATCCGGATTTTCAACTACAATGTGAAGTCAGTCAGTGTTACTCACTATACGGATCAGAGACTTGGCCAGCGCCTCATAAACAGCACCTAAAACAAACTACAGACCTTCATTAACAGTTGTCTTCACTCAATACTCAAATCTAAAGAAGCTCATTTCAATTCAAACTGAAGTGTACGCGCTGAAGATGTTGCCTAGTAGTGTGGGGCAATGAAAGCTTTGCAAATAAACCAACCATCCAGCTAGACAAGAGAACACAACCAATACATCAAAATCATCCACCACATGAGCTACAAATCTCTATCATATCTACATCATTTGGATGTTAGCTGTTATCTCCAGTGATTGCTGATGATGATGTTTCTCTCCCGTAGGTTCAACCAATCAATACGAAAATCAAAATTAACCTATTATTTTTCAAATATTGGTTTTGTAGGGATTTTGTTTGATTGCATGGGGGATTTCACCATGAGCTGACATCAGTTAGAGAACCACTGGAAAACCACCTAGGAGTACTGGACAGCTGTTTGGTCCTAGTTTGGGACTCCGCTTCATCAGTACGCACCCGCCTTACCAGGGTTAGAACCTAGGACAGACGTTAGAACTCAAGGACCATTGAATCGGGTCCCAGTGGCTCAATGGTCTACGAGCTAGCTGACTAGCCTTGTAACCAAAAAGTCCTGGGTTCGAACCCCGTCAGTGGGGTGGGTGCGTACTGCTGAAGCAGATTGCCAAACTAGGCTGATGAAACAACCGGCTGTCCAGTACTTCACTGGTGGTTTTCCAGTGGTTCTCTAACTGATGTCAGCTCATGGTGAAATCCTCCATGTAACTTATTATTATTATTATTATTAGAATAAATAGTCAATAATTTTTACTCAACAGCAAAGTGTACTCATATGCTCATATACATTATTAATTAACAGTAACACTGATTATTGATTTGATTGATTGATGTAGTGTAGTGTGGCGTGGTATGGCTTAGTCTAGTGTAGTGTAGTGAAGGGTAATGTGGAGATAAGAGATGCTAATGAGATTTCGAAGAAATAATAAGACCTCGTGGCAACACAAACATAAGGCGCAGAATAAAAAAAATTGAGATCACAAATAAAAAAATAACAATTTTTGGTATGTGTATCATTTGGAAACAGCAACGCTATTAGAAATGAAAAAACAACAACAAGCAAACAAATGTGTGCACGTATATCACTCACTCACCCATTCACATACACACACACACACAAACCGATAGAGAAACTAGATAGACAAATATAGAGACGGACTGTGAGATAACACCACCAACAACAACCGCACTCACTAACCACGATGGAGCACATGATTAGAATTAACAGGATAGTTTTTTAATGCTGTATAACATACACTACAAACAGACGAAGATGCTTTAACATACACACACACACAGACAGGCACACAAGCACGTACGCACGCATGCATGCGCAAAAACAGAAATATGCAGCTATTATAACTGTTGTGTACGCGCCTTAGAAAACAAGACACTCACTCACTGACGCACACACGTACACACAAAAAAACTAATTCTTCTGTTGTTGTTGTTTTTCAAATCGAAAAATAGGTTGACTCAACAGTAGGAGGAAAAAACAACACACGTAACCAGATAATCTAAGTTAGAGTGAGCACATTATTAACATTGCCAGGTGTGCTTGTCTTTCAGCGACTAAAGGAGTGACTTGTCACCACCAGAGAGAGAGAGAGAGAGGGGTAGTCTCGTTCACTTAGAATATGCGGATGAGATATAGTCAGTCTTTCCTTCTTAGGTGAGGATGATGATATAAAATCCAGCAAAGTTTTCTCAACACACCTTGAGAAGCAGCAATCTTGTAATGCTCAGCATGCAATTCGCTCCTGTATCAAATGTGAGATACTGCTACAGGACTGGATTAGACCGGACCAGACTACTACATCGCTTCACTCTTAGAATCAAGAGACAGAAGTGAGTGAAATGTGGTTGTTGAGCGTGTTTGACGACCACCTCACTTAATTGGGAAGTTGCATCAGCCAACCCCAATGAGTTAATCGATCGTTGACGAAATCAGAGCACGCATACATATACAAAGCTAGTTCGGTATTTACCCGCCAACTTACACCATCTCCTGGATTAGTAGACGTAATACTCCTCGCTTTGGCTGACGACTATCGATCAAAGGATGTGTGTACTGCACAAGAGAAGTTCGCTCTGTCCTCTTTTATCGCACAGCGATGAGTGAGACATGGCCATTGAAGGTGGAAGATATGAAAAGTTTGACTAATTGTCTTTGATCATAGGTGTCTCTATCCTATCTCCCATGTTAGGATGTGGTATAATAGGGTGATTAATATTGAGGTAAGACATTGGTCTAGTGCTAGTTGAGTCAGAGGGAAAATCAACCGACGAGGTTGTTAAGTTACATCGATTGAAATGGTTAGGACATATCTTACACATGGTTAGCCTAGCCATCGATCGGCTTCTTCGATGACGGGCGATGTTAGTTGTTGACAGGTTGGATAGGGTTTGATGGTGGCCGACCCGAAACATGCCCTCTTCAGTCAATAAAATCCATAGCATTTAGTCTATGCCAACCAGTCAGCCAGCCACGTAGGGAGGTGTACACTGGCTTCCTGGTTGCGGTCCTCAGCTCGAAATCGATGTCAATGGCTTGCACAGACTCATTCACTACTTTTTGTAATTTATCATACCCAACAAAACTCAATTGTTCCTCCACATTACTATTTTTTTTCTTACTCACACTTCAGTTTATTATCTCTCTTTTTGTGAGTCTGTCTTTACTCTCTTCTCTTGTATTGTGTTCTACATGGAGGAACAGTAGGAACTCGAATAGCTGCACATCTGTGAAGAGTTCTACGTTGAAACTAATCAGTCAGTCTTTCGAAGGACCTGAATAATTTCAAGTTTATTCAAGAAAACTTATTTGAGCGTTAAAGAGGGAGAACCGTTGGAAAATAGCAATATTAGTACATGGCACAACTGTTTCGTCTTTGTTTAGGACTCTTCATCAGCGTAGGTTAACACACAGACACACACACACACTTCAAGAACCACGAATTCGCATTTTAAAGCAAGATGATGAAAGCGATTGGATAGTATGGAATTACGTAGATTGTTATTACTTTCCCGCTGATCACACACCGTAAAAGTTTATAACTTTTTGGAGTACATGAAACAGAAGGACTGTTAGTGTTGTGTGACTAGCGAACACTCATGAGATAACTGCTGGAAGCCAGTCCCACACACGGTCTGTTTGAGTTAGTTTTCTGAATTTTTTTTCCGTATTAAGATCTTACCACCACAAAGTATGTCGGGATATGCAACTCTAGGGATCGACCTTCGCCTTATTAATTCTCTCACAGTGAGCAGATAAGGTGCAGTACAGCTAGCTTGTTAGTCGTCCTAAAGAAACATGTATTCGACAACAGTAAGTCTCCCTCTTCAGACCCCCTCCTGCGAAACATAGTGTAAACTACTTAGAGTATGATAGTGACTACTTTTGGTCTTACCCCTTTCTGATATGATAAGACCTGCAGCAACATTAATTCTATCAAGTTTAGCTCATTATCAGGTGCTGGGCTTTCAGCGACTAAAAGAGTGACTTGTCACAACCAGAGAGAGAGAGAGAGGGTAGTCTCGTTCACTTAGAATATGCGGATGAGATATAGTCAGTCTTTCCTTCTTAGGTGAGGATGATGATATAAAATCTAGCAAAGTTTTCTCAACACACCTTGAGAAGCAGCAATCTTGTAATGCTCAGCATGCGATTCGCTCCCGTGTCAAATGTAAGATGACGCTAAAGGAATGGGATGGACTGGACCGAATCGACTCATTCCTAGCTTAAAGATACAAGGGAGTGAAGTAGAGGAGCGCATCGACGTAAATGTGAATATTCTTTGTTCAGTAGCCATTCTTTTGAAAAGCGATTGCGTTAACAGCTAAATAGAGTGGAACTATGTACAGGGTAAGGGTTTCAGTGGGTAACCACTACTACCACCGTTGGTCAATTTCCAACACCACCCAACCCCGCGTCCTACCAAATTCACAAATCTGAATACATTTTAATAGAGGAAGAATAAAGTACTGATGTGATTTAATAATGAAAAAATAACAAATTCATGAAAAAATATCGTTCATTCACCAGGTTACATCACAATTCCATAGTATTATTATTATTATTATTAAAGAGTATAATAATAAGGCGGTTTACTACTTACGACTAGCTCGACTGCCTGTACGTGATTGTTGCATTCCATATTGTTGAGCCATGTTAGCCAGCATATCAATGAGTTCTTGACTGATCTACAAAAAATAATGATAAAGGAGTCACGTTTAGAAATGCTTCGAAGGAGAGAAAAAATTAGTCATAATGGGAAAGCAGAACAAGAAAGGTTGTCAGTAGGGTAATTTAGTGCAAGATGATATTACAGAACTGGACTGGACTACACTGACTCCAAGTATAGAAATAGGGAGTGAAGTGGTAGGGCAGGTTGACCGCTTCTCTTATTCGGGAAGTTGCATCAGTCGGCCCCAACGGGTTGATCGCTGACAAAATTTCAGCAGGAATACAAAATACTCGTTTCGCATATGTCAGTTTACGCCGCATATGGCACGGATGTGATATCTGGCTGGCTATCGACCAAAGAGCGTGTTTACTGCTCAGTAGTCGGCTACGTCCTCCTATATGGCTGTAAGACCTGGCTATTGAGAATGGAAGACATGGAAAGATTAGCTGTCTTTTATCATAGGTGCCTGCGTTCTATCAAACCATAACATGGCTTCATCAGTCAGTGAAATCCACAACAGTTAGTTTAAGCCAGTCACATAGCAAAGTGTAAACAGCCAATCTGGTTGAGGTCCTCGGGACGGTAAAAACCAATGGTTCGAAACAATTAGTGATGATATGGCTCAAAATCGTTCTCAATGGCTGGTGCAGATGCATCCACTCCTTGTGACTTATGATTTCCAATGAAACTATATCGTTCTTCGTTATTACTAATCCTTTGTCACACTCACACCTCTGTTTACTATCTCTATTATGCATTTCTTCTACTTTTTTCTCTTGGTTTGTGTGCTTCATGGAGTGTGGCAACTTGAACAGCCGCACATATGTGCAAAGTTCTTTGTCGAAAACAGACAGGCGGACAGACAGAATTGGTGTACCACTTAGTCAGCTTAGTACAACAGTAATTGGCAGATACCTGAAATCTAGATATGATGAAGAAGATTTTTAGCTCAGGTGGTGGATGATTTTGATGTGGTTGTGTTCTCTGAGCTACCTGGATGGTTGATTTATTTGCAAAGCTTTAATTGCCCCACACCACTAGGCGACATCTTCAGTGCATACACTTCAATTTGAATTGAAGTGAGCTTTATTTGGATTTCTCCACGAGTTCTCCCTATTAGTCATCGCGTGCTTCACGGAGTGTGGCGACTTGAACTTCCGCACATTTGTGCAAAGTTCTATGTCGAAAACAGACAGACAGACATTAGTCATATCTCCCCTAATGGTGACCTTGAAAATGAGTTTCAACAGCGAAAGGAGACAAAAACCAACATCATATAGAAAATAACTTGCAACGACTACGACAAAAAACACTGCATTGGCTTCCATGATGATCACAAACTAGTCGTCAAAAGACATGATATCCACTCCCTTATATCATTACATACAGACAACAACGGACATCAATTCGACTGGGACAACCAGTGTTCAAATATTAGACAGAGGAAACAACACCAAGAATGCTAGAGAATTTTTACAAACCTAATTGAAATTCCAGTGGATTGTCAATCAATACACACATTGAGATAGACAAAATTTACCAACCGATGTAGAAGGAAATCTCACATACAAAAGGGCAAAGTTCAAGTCAAAGAAACAATCAGTTCCAATAAAAGTAGTCTAGAGGGTGTGAAAACACACAAAAACAACCGAAAAGCCACGTGCAAGGTCACCTATCAGGAGAGATGATTAATAGTGAGAACTCGTGGAGAAATCTAAAGAAGCTCATTTCAATTCAAATTGTAGTATGCGCTGAAGATGTTGTCCAGTAGTGGGGCAGTTAAAGCTTTAGAACAAGACATATAAGCGAACAATATTGTTTTCAATTAGATCTTCATCAGGCTTTACTCTAATTTTCATAGACTTATATATAAAAATTTTTAACCAATGACGGTGATTTATTGTTTTGAACGTAATTAATAATTTATTATTATTATTATATCCTTTAGTTCCTAGAGGAACATAGGGCTTAGCTGCGCACCTCCACTGCCTTCGGTTTTCTGCTAACTTTTTCACTCCGCTCCAAGTCTGCCCACATGCTTTCATCTCCTCCTCGCATGACCTCCTCCAAGTCACCTTTGGAAGACCAACTCACCGTTTCCCTTTCGGGTTCCACTCGAGGGCTTGTCTAGTGATGTCGCTTGATGGTTTCCTCATGGTGTGACCAATATGTAATTAATAATGATGATCATATTGATAACAAAATATTGATAATAAGGTTTATGCAGGTGTCGATAAGAATAACAAAGCTAGTAATATGTGTATATGTAGACAATTCAATAAATAAATAAATTAGGTCAAATCTTAAAAGTTACGTAATGCCAAAAGTGAAGTGGACAGATTTTTTTTCTTTCCTTCACGTTCCCCAGTGGAATATAGGGCTTCAAGCTATTGGCTTGAAGTTTCTGTAGCAGTGTTTAATTTTACAGGATGAAGTTGCTAGCCTCATGCCCAAACTTTCCTGCTTACCAGCATTATTTATGGCTTATCGAGGTAAAGGAGTGCGTCTGTAGCCGGAGATCGAACCCCGGACCATGTGCATAGTCGGCGAGAGTCCTAATCGCTGTGCCACCTACGCCAAAGTGGACAGATAATCAGAGTTTAAATAAATATCATAAAAATACGAAGGAGATGGAAAATAAGAAAGACTGGAATGGTTTTGAATAGAATTCACCTAGGCCAGGCAAGGTAGAGACAAAGGTAGAACAAACTTCTTTTGTTGTATGCAAAGACTAGGATTGTTCTCTCGAATTCCCATAGCTTCGGCTATGTGTAAAAGACGGATTCGAATTCCGTTCGAAAGACTCGATGGAATGCGATAGATAACTTTGAAGGCACTATTTTTGTCCCCTTGATGACCGCTGCCATCAATCAAATGAGCCAAAATAGAACTTCTTATAGATTTTATTTGACTTTTTCTGAACCATGAAGGAAGATGCTCATTAATAAGTTTGTTAAGCTGTCTAGTTGTTCGCCCTATTTATTGTTCGCTTATGTGTCTTGTTCTAATATTAAAAAAATGGGAATATTTAAAGAATTGAAGCTTTGCAAATAAACCAGCCATCCAGGTAGCTCAGAGAACACGACGAACATCAAAAAATACCTGAAATCATTTTAACAAATGCTCCAAATCCATATTTCCTGATTCTTAACACCCACACACACAACCTCTCTATTCTCAACCCCCACCCGCCTTTCATCTTATCAGCTGAGGGACTCTAAATTTCCATAAAAGATCATATTCAAGTATTGGTTTGTAGGGATTTGGTTGATTGGTTACAGGATTTCATCATCAGCTGACATTGGTTAGTCATGACCAGTAGGATGCAGAAGGTCGGGTGTGAGAACAAATACTCGCCGAAGACATTGGCTAGCGGTTGTGCTATATCGTGAATTGGTAGAAGTTAGGATTCATGGACTGGCCATTTGATCGGGTCCCAGTGGCTTAATGAATTACGACCTCGCCTTGTAATCAGAAGGTTCTGGGTTCGAACACCGGTGGGTGCGTTCTGCTGAAGTAGAGTTGCGAACTAGGCTGACGAGACAGCTGTCCAGATGGTTTTCCAATGGTTCTTTAACCAATGTCAGCTCATGATAAAATATTGTAACTAAAAGATTATATACCTGTACAACCCCAAGCACGGGAATTCAACGATGTCATATTTGATCCGCTGGCGTTCTATGTGATAGATGATAGTGCGAGAAGCCTACAACTGATTATGTAATTAGCAAAAATAATCGAATCTTTTGTCCTCTCCAATATTTGTAATTAATAGTGACAACACTATTTCCATTAACTTATTATCACCATCATCATTATGATTTTGCACTTTTTGTACATTTTTGACTTTATTATCAGTGCTATTTACCAAATCAAAAACTGCTATTATCAATTTTGGTTACGTATATCCTGTAATAATATTATTATTATTATATTTAATACTAGTTTTTGCTGTTATCGAGTAAATTAGATGCAATATTGTAATGAATGCTGATAATCCCCCCCCCCCACATACACACACTGTAGCATAAGTACTGTTTCTGGAATAAAGCTTATTATTATTAAATCTTATTCAACAAACGCTTTATTATTTTTATTTATTTTTTTGATTACAGCTTCATTCCACACCGTATTTTTGCTACAGGTATGGAATTTTCAGCATGTGATATCGGTAGCCCAAATTTTACAGGCCGACCATAGATATCAAGTGTGCGTCGGCAGGGGATCGAACTTCAGACCATGTGCATGGTCGGCGAGTGTCCTAACCACTGTGCTACCGACGCACATCATGTTGGTAGTGGGTCACACCTCTCTTGTAGGAGCTGGTAATACTATCTGTGTTATCTAAGTGAACTTTGATAGGCTTCAGTGTAGGGTTCGAACCCGTGGACACTTGATAAGCATAAAACATTACCATTTTATCATTTCATACACTAAACAACAGTTCTTTTCGTATTCCTTTACGTCCCAAATGGAACGTAGGCGGGTGGTAGTGGGTGGCTTCAAGCACATCAAGCTTTGAAGTTTCACATTAGTTCGTTTATTAGATGGATCATACAGTGAGTGAAACAGTGTTATTATTTACCGGATGACACAGTTTCGAACACAGTTTATTGCGGTTCATAATCATTTCATCAGTTATAATCACACGACTTTGAAACTTGAGTTTTATAGTTTTCTTTGTGTCTCTCCTATTCGTCGTCGTAGAGGTAGTAGAATTTTGCAGATATCTGGGTGGACAGGTGTTGAATCATTGCTATTACAAGCGTTGGTTTGCAGTTGATTCGATAAATAAAGCTTCTGTTATCAATCTCTCCCTCCCTATACCCTGTGACATTAGATTTCAAAATTGTCATCCTATCCCATCCTATTTTGTGGTTGTGTGTAATTGCGAGTAGTGAGTGGTGTAGCTGAACTATTCTCTAGATTTCTCATCTTATTGGGGTCAACCAATCTACATTTTGTTAGGTTTTTATGTTCAGCTAGTCTGATTGACTGCCCCTGTTCTACTACTCT